TATTTTTTTAAAATATCTTCGAGATTTCTCAACCAATCAATATAAACCTTTACATTTCCTTTTTAAAATAATAATAAAAATAAAATTTCGACAAAAATCCATTACGGTTTTATATTAATTTTATTTTAAAAAATTTATAAAAACATATTTTATAATTTTTAAACGAGGAACAACTATTTTTTTATTTTTATTCAATAAAAAAAATATAAATTATTCACTCTGCCAAGTTTTGTTTTTTATTAATAAAAAAAAAATCCTTATGAAGTGAATTTCATTTCAGGGGGAGTAAATAAATTAAAAATGATGAAAAAATAATTTCTCAACATAGATAAATATTTTAACATCACTTTAACACTGAAAATAAATTAAACTATAGCAATAGTATATAAGTTTATATAGATTAAGGATTTTACAATTTTGTAATTATAGTTTAAGATGTAGGGTTAAATTCAATTTGTAAGTGGAACGAAGGTCCACTATTTGTACCCCTATAAAATGGGCAAATAAATGATTATTATTATTATTATTATTATTGAATTAAAATATAGCACCAGTGTTAATTTAAAATTTCTTTGATGTTAGAATTTAATACCAAAAATTCAGATTTCGTCCGGGTTTTTTTTTACAGTGTACGTATCCAGACAAATTTATTTTCATGTTTAATGTCGACATCAGATATGTATAACAATAGGATTAAATACTCTTTTGTTCCTCTTTTGAAAAAATAACATAAATTATTGCTTGTTAGAAGCGCTCACAATGACCTGAGTGTCGATAATTATAATCTTGTTATTTTCTCATTAGCCCTGACTGATAAAGGTGTAAAAAAAGCTTAAATGGAGCTCGTCATAATTTATTCAAAACTTGTTTGAATAAATTAAAAAAAAAAAAAAAAAAAAAAAAAAAAGAGACAACAATGAATGCTAAAACTGAAAATAAACAATAGTACTTTTGTTAGGATAGAAACCCGACTAAACTCTGGGCTATTATATATAATTGTTTTGTATTAGCAAAACTGATAAATTTATGGCTGAAAAAATAAATATATTTTCGGGATTTTACCATAAAAATCTTTGAAATTATGACAAAAAATAAAAAAAAGTCTTTGGGAGGGTGACTTCAATCCACTTCCACCCTCATTCGTCAGTATTACCGTTTCCCATACGGTCCAAGTTCCACCCCTTGCCAAATCACAAATCTGCCGTCTGCGTTTCATCCCAACGAAATAGGAATGGCCGCGGTGTACGGCTATATCATGTATATATATACAGCTATAAAAGCCTGCATCAGCCCTAATGTCAAATAATAAATGAATGTATTTTTTTCTCTCGGTCGCTGCGAAACCCCGATGGTTTGATCGATCGATCGTTTCGTTTCATAAAAAATACGAATAATATTTATTTTTCTATCCATTTTAAAAGCATAAATATTATCGAATAACTTGGATACACAAAATTAATGTTGCCTTCAATGATACTTGCATATTGTTTTTTTTTTTGGACTCTGTTTAAATCAGATTTATGCAATACCTTATGCTGATTAAAAAATTAATTGAATTCAAGAGGAATTAGTGTTTCTTACGGTTATTATTTACAAGTGGGGTCAACTCCATTTGGAGTCATAACTAGGTGAAAAATTAACATTTTCAAATTTTTTTTTATGATGAAAAATGTCGTAAAAGGAAAAAATTAAGATTTCATAAGCTTTTTTGCTTTCAAAAGTTGAAAAAAATTTTGACTTTCATGTTTTTGGATTAAAGAAATGAACAATTAAAAAAAAAAAAGTTGAATGCCACAATTTTCTAAAAAATTAGTAAATTTTTTTGAAAATTTGTAAAATATTTACATGTGGGGTCAACCATTTTGTTGAACGAAATTTCTATTTGATTTTATTGATACATTTTTTTTTAAATACATAAAAAATGAAAAATTTGAAAAAAAAGATAAATATCACAATTTTCTAAAAAATTGATAAATTTATGTTAACAATAATCATCTTTACTAACTAATGCAAACCTATCAATAATTTCTGTTATTTTAAACTTAATTTTAACTCGATACAGTATAAATAAATGATTTTATGGTTTTTTAGATTATAAATAATCTAAAATATTGTTAAACAATGCAATAAGGTTTTTTTTTTAACAATATTTTTAAGAAATTACAAACGTAAAAGCAGTTTTGGCCTACTTGAAAAAATGAAATTTTTTTGCGGTAAATAGTTTATACCTTAGAATTAAATTTTACTATTTTTTATTTAAAAAAATATATAAAATTATCACAAAATATCAACAATTGTGATTATCATCAAATTTTAATAATTAAATAATAAAATTTAAGTAGGGTGTGAGTAATGGGCATCCTTTAAATATTTGGCCTTTTTACCTTATATGTAATGGCTATGGTTAGGACTGTAATTATACATTGTTTTGTACATGTATTGGGAGTGTAGGTGTATACAGATAGTGAAAATACTATCGATAAGCTCACCTTTAAGGTAGAAAACACCTACGTGCATCCGCACTCCCCAGGGTTGCAAGTAGTAAAAAGGGTCGGCAGAAGTGAAGCGAAGAGTGAGTGAGTCTCGGAAATGTACTATGCGCATGCGCTAGAATTTTTTTTGCATCGGGGGCTTGAAGGGAGCGCTTTGATTGGTCGAAGAAGTAGCCGGTAGGGGTAGTTCGGCTTCAGGCCCATGCTTCCCATGGTGTTATTTAAAGCAGAACGTTTGGAGAAACTTTACCATTTTTCATTCAGCACCCCTTGAATGAACAGCGAGCAGAAGCTTGACCATCACAGTTTCAATCAGTAGTTCGTTTTGGTATTTATTTTTGTCTATTCTAATAGACCTTACTATTCAAGTGCGCGCTTGTGCAAGTGATAGTTTTTTTATTCAAGTCTGTTATATCGATAACAGACAGTATTATTGTTTTTTGTTATCCGAACAATATCTGGTGAAAGTTTTTTAAAAGTTCATTTTCCTATTGGATCTTTCGAATTTTGAAAGAGTATCAAAAGGTAAATTTTTTATTTTTATTTTATCTACTTAATTTATTTTTAACATAATTTGTCATGTGCTTTTTTTATAATTTTATGAAGTTTATATAGCTTGTAACTTATAACTTAAATTATAAAATTGAAAATATAATAAAAAATACTATCAAGTACTTTTTTGAGAATAAATTTTTTGTTATCGTTATCGGTATATTTTTTTTAACGCGTGTCAGTTTCTAAGCATGCAGTAGGTGATGGAAAAAGATTAGATTTAAAATAAAAAGTTGAAATAATACCTAATTACTAATCTTATTAGATATTCGTATCAATAAATTTACTAAACAATTTACATATAAGTAATTGATGGATTAAACAATAAATTTCTTGGAATTTTTTCTTTACAAAAAAATATTTGCTTTTTTTTTACAAAATTTTTTTATGAAAAAAAATTAGCGAAAATTAATAATTTACATAATTATCATTGTTCATTTTTACAAATATTTTGAATAAAAGAGAAACGCTTAAATTATAATAAAATAAAATTTGAATTGTTCTGTAATTAACCGACATTAAAATATTTTTTATAGCAATGAAATTATTCTGAAAAAAATTTAATAAGAAAGTTCCACATGTGAAAAGTAAAAATTTTTTTTTTTTTTTTTTTTTTTATTATTTTATAACAAACAAATCAATCAGTTAACTTCAGTATCATAAATTATAATTTTTAATTTTTAAAAAATGTTTTTTTCTAAGAAAAACAACTAGCGCAAATTACAATTTAATAACATTTTTTTTTTTTATAATAAAAAGTAATGGAAATTGATAGTAAAAACAATAATCATGATTCATTTTCACAAAACTTTTCTATAAAAAGAATAAAATCGAAAAATTTACAAAAAAAAAAATTTGTTCAATTTTTTTGTCGTAAAAATATAATGCAAAAATTTTAATTAACAGAATTTTCATGTCTTATTTTTAATAAAATATTTTCGCAGCAAAATGAACTATCGATAATTAAAGTGAGATAATATTTTCACGTTTTATTTTTATAATAATTTATTTCTATAATAAAAACAAGCAAAAATTAAAATTAAATAAAATTTGCATGTGTGGTTTTTACATTAAAAAAACTAGTGATAATTAGAATTGAATAATATTTTCATAAAATTTTTTATCACAAAAGTAAACTAGAAAAAATTTCAATTTTTAAAAATTTTTTATAAATTCTATAAAAACCTACTAGATGAGCGTTACAACGTAAATTGATCGGCTAATCAAGAGGGATAGTTTGTCTAGATAGTAATTATTATTATCCAGTAGAATTGACGACTCGAAGAGGGAGCCAAAAAAATAAATAAAATAAATCGTGAGCTCTATTTTATTTTATTCTTTTCTATTATTCCAATTCTTTGTTTTATTTTATTTCGAAGCAACGGAAAAAAATTGAAAAAAGTAGCCTTGTTAACTAAAAACGATTATATAAAATTTATAATTCTCTTGTTTATTTAAGGATTATGTATTTAATGTTTGGAATCTTTTTTATTCTAACTTTCCGTATATGCCGAATACTACTACTAAAGCACTTACTGCAATTGTTTTCATTTTTTTTACTCAGTGACTAAAAATTCTCTGAATTTATACTCATTTATTTTTTGACCATTTACATTTTATATTTTTTTAATCCATTATCTAAATAAAATTAATTATTTTTTTTTTATTAAAAAAAAATTTGTCATCAATTTTGGTAGGAATATTATTTGTTTATCAAAAAATGTAGCCGTAAATTTTTTTAAGTAAATTCTTAAGTTTTAAATTTTGTCAAAAATTTTTATTCAAATTTTATAATAATAAAAAAATTATTTCAATTCATTTTGTGTTTAAAAAAACGCTTCATATAATTATAGAATATGAATTTATAACTTTAACAAATAAATGATAAGTTTTTAAAAAATAAAATTTTCAATTTACTAATAACAAAATAAATTCAACAGGCAAATAATCTTAACCATGAAACGCACCACGATGGATAACAATTCAAGCAATCATCTTCCTCTGAGCCTGCATATAGATCCTATTTATGAGCTTCTGAGGCAATTACAGATAAAGAACTATTCAACACGGGAGTCCATGGACCTGATAAAGAGGTCTCCTCCATACCTCTACACACCACCTTATACAGTAAGTAATTTTTCAAATTTATACATTTTTGTTTTATTTAATTTATACTCTTTTTTTTTTTTTTTTTTGTTTTCCTCGTTGCGTATATAGTAAAAAATCCTTCCGCCATCTTTCATTATTTTCCCTTTTTTTATCTGACTTCCCCGTCTAAATTCGTCCACGCATTCGACTCTCATTCCCCCTTTGTTCATACTCCTTCCTTGAAATTCAACCCTCGGTTGGATTTTCTTCCCCTTTACACGATTGCTTACACAAAATGTCCGATGCAAGTACTTGCTCCTAAAAATTTTTTTGTAAATTCTAATAATTTTTACTAACTGAATTATTAAAAATTACAGAGTCCACAAAGAGAGGAAAATCACAATGGATTTACCGGTTGGATTAATCCATCGGGAAGTCACTCGGTAACTTCAACTCAAACTTCGTTCTGGGAAAATTTTTCCAATTTCACCGAACCAGTAAGGAAGTATTCGGAATCATACTATTCTGATAGTGAAAATTCACACCCAAGATCACTACCAAGCCCCGAAGAACAGACTAGCCCACCTTCCAATCCACCATCACCCTATGGTTTTGTTGAAAAACCAATCATATCCAACCAAGGAGCATCTACTTCGTCCAATGTAGCTTATCAGCAATTTCCCAGTCAGAAGAGCCCATCTCCTGACTTGAAGTCAAGCCCCGCTGTAAGAATCACGAAGCTAAAAGAGACCCTTCAAAAGAAGAAAATGAAGAAAGAAATGAATAACATGGAATTTATACGACAGAATATGCCGGCTAAAAGCTCATCAAAACAAGTTTACCAGCATAGAGAGTTAAGTCAGTCACCAGTTCCTTCAACATCTTCAATGGAAACCTGTCATCAAGAGCAATCAATTCCGACCAATGTTTGTCAAGACGATGTAAACTTGACAAGTCCTAATAACGTCGGTGCGCCAACTTCCACTAAAAGTTCTGTTGTTTACATGAAAAAACCTAATTCCCGAAGAAGAAAGCCCGTCAGGATCACTCGCTTGAAATTGACGAGGGAAGTGTATGAAACGGCGCCTGGGATCAAAATTCCACGTTTCTCAAAAGGAAAAATTAAAAGCGTTAAGTGCAAGTATTGTAAGATTTTATTTGATACAAAACATGAATTATGGATTCACTTAAGAATACATTTGAAACCGAATAAACGTTTTGAGTGTTCGGAGTCTTATTGTTCCTTCGTCACCAATCTCCATCATCATATCGTTTATCACGAGTGTTCGCACCTAGGAATACGGCCATTCCGTTGCAATCAATGCTCTTACACCGCTACCAATAAAGCAATGTTGAAGAGTCATGAAAAATCGCATGCTGATTTTTATCTCTACGTCTGCAAAGATTGTGGTTTTGGAAACCAATACGTTAGCAATTTAAAAAAACATCTGGAATACACGAAACATAATAAAGTTATACGAGCTTTTGATAAAGAAGGAAATGAATTTGAACTAGAAATTGATGTTTACGGAAAGACACGAGGTCCTAAAAAAAATACAACTCCTAAGAAAGCCAATCCAAAACAGAAGCCAACTGCTGACACAACTCCAGCTTCATCCGAGTGTCTTCGTGATAATCTGCTTCAGGAAAATCTTGTTGAAGCCCAAAATCTTGGACGACAGGATGCTCAGTCGGGAAACCTATTACCAATAATAGATCATTACAATGCACAATCTTTATATTCACAAAGTCTTTATATGTCAAACCCTTCAGACTCGCAGATAGAGCTGACCAACTCATCAGTCAATAGCCCTTTGTACCTCAGCTTGTTAGCTGCAATAAAAAATTTATCTACTGTAGATACTCCAATTGCAAATTCTATGGAAATTTCTTCAGACGAAGTTGGAGAAATTCAACCCTTGGATTTGTCGATGAAGAACTCTAACAACACGTCCTCAAATACCGGTCGATCCTCCGGCGCTAGCAAACGCAAGGGCAAGACTATCACCAAGTACGTTAATAAATAAAAGTAGTAGAAGATCACACCACATTACCTGTGAAAATCATCCACAACACTACCTGTAAATTAGGTTCCCAAATTGAAAAAATTAAGTTGAATAAACTTAACTACTAGATTAAAAACATTAATTTAAGATCTATCATCTAAGTGAATCTTGGGCTGATAATTTAATACAGGTAATTTAAATATTTTCTAATTACCAAAGCCACCCCTTACCACTGTAGTAAAATAAACTTGTTTGTTTATTTTACTGCTAATTAAATGGTAAAATAAACAAACAATTTTATTTTTCTAGTCTAAATAAATTAATTATATTTTGTATTTGAATGGTGCAATATAATTTAGTTATTTATATTGTTACCAATCTGTATTATTTGATTATTTATTTTTATTTAATCAACAAATTTATAATAATAATTATTATTATTATTATAGACATAAACAGGTTGGGGTACTTAAAGTCGCTGTTAATTTTGATGAGACGGGGTATCTTCGCTTTTAAAAGACTAAGTAGTCTTCGTATTCTGATCTCATTTAAATTATACAGTTAACAAAAATGAAAAAGTAGATTCCTGTAAAAAGTATTTTATAAAACTTAACAGTATTTGTAATAATTAAACTATAAAAATAACTGACATTAATTAATATTTTTTTGCCGGCGACGTAAGCCGAGTAGTAAAGCAAATTAAAATAAAACAAATGGAAAAAAAAAAAAAACATTAAAAAAAAAACAAATTTAAAAAAAAAAATTAATGTTTTGATGAAAAATTTTCGATTTAAGTATATTGATAGTTTGTACATTTGTAAATAGTTTTTTACTATGTATTAAATTTTCTATTTTTACTTAATGGCTGCGTTCGGGTTTTCTAAGTTCTGAGCAGGGCTGACTTTATCGACCAAAAAATTAATTTTAGACACTCTTAAATAAATATACTTTGCATTGTTTTGCCATAGATTTTTCAAAAAAATAATATAATTACTTTAACTTGTTGTTACAAGATATACTAAGACCTGCAAGAACTTAGCAAACTTGAACGCAGCCAATAATTGTGTAATTGATGAAAAAACAACAAAAAAAAAATAAAAAACAAAAAAACGTATTATTGACCTTTTTATATGTAACCCTACCTTCTAATGCATGAACTTAGTCATTTATGATTTTAAAACTATCAATACTTATTTATAATTAATTTAAATTAAATTATAATGAAAAAATCTCCAAGTTACAAAGAAAATTTGTGGCATGGAAAAGATTCACTGACTAGTAAAAGTAGCAGCGAGTCTCAAACAATTCACTGGATTCCAGAACTTTTTGGGCCAGTTTTTGAAACTGAAAAAATTTCTTTGTGTCAGGTAAGTATTAATATTAATTAACTCATAATATTTTATTTAGTATTTAATAAATAAATATATTTAGTCTTATCGTGCTCATCAAGGAAAAATAAGAACACAATTGATATCAACATTCGTCCCAGACGAAATAATTTACAAAACAGATCTCGCAAAAAAAAGTCTAGAGGAATTTTTAGCTGTTATTCTATTTATTGAAATCTCGAGTAAATTTTTAATTATAATTAATTAGGATTAATTATAATTTAACTAGTTAACAATTTCTGGATTTAATTAGACTTAAATGACATCTGGGATAAATTTTCGCCGACTGAAAACAGCGCGAGCTACGGATTTAATTTTTTACTCAACAAATATTTGGGACCAATTATTGAAAATATTTATAATTATGAAGGAGACGTGATTAAATTGGAAGCTGATGAAATTTTGGCTGTATGGAAAGTACCGAAATTTCAGTTAGCAGCGGAAATTGTGGAAGCAGTTATAAAATGTGGATTAAAATGCCAGAAAGGTGTGAAAAATATTTCAACTATTTTACAAGTTAAAAGTAAGTGAATTTTTTTATTTTTAAGAGTCCCTAATTAGTATTAGACAAGTTTTAACTTTCTGTTATAAAAATCAATGATTTTCATAAAATTGGGAAGTTATTGGTTTCTTTTAAGAATTTTTGAGTACTTTGGATTTGAAATTAGCGGAAAGTTGCAAGAAGGGCCTGTAGGGTCAGTAGTTTTACTAATTTTTTTTTGTTTAAGTAAAAATTACTATTTCAACTGGAAACGTTGCATTTTCAATAATTGGCAATGATAATTTTAAAAAATGGGTACTAGTAGGTCAACCGATCATTGAAGCTGAATCAGCAGCAAATAATTGTAATCCTGGTGAAGTTATTATAACCAAAAGCACTTGGCAATATGTCCTACCTAGTGATTATGAATATCTTTCCGTAGATTCAGATAATGTTAAAGTAAAATGTTTTTCTTTTTAATAATTTTTCACTTTTTAATCCAGTTTTACAAATTTTATCACTTTTTTTTTTTTTTTTTTTATTTCTTAAAGATTATAAACGAGATTGGACTTTCAAAATTGGAAAGAAGAATTGCAATTAAAAGTAAAGATGAACAAATTTCAATTACACATATGACAGCTAGCAAAGAACCAACATCCAATCCTTGTAAATTAATTTTTAGTACTCTGATATTCTTCATAAACATTTTTAATTAAAGAAAAAAAATTTTTAACAGATAGATCTTCCATAAACGATGCTGTAACTCTAAAAATAGGCGACAAATTATTAAAATTTTTGATACCACTACTCACTTCTGAAATTGAAAAACACCGAGCTCTAGAATTACTGACTCAGATACAGAAAGTGTCAATTTTATCTATAAATCTTACTCCTGTAAAAATTAAAACTCAAGAAATAGTAAATTTAAGCGACAAATGCTTTCATGCTCTCTACAAGTATTTATTGAAAATTATTCAATTGTTTCTTGATGGTAGTAATTTTTTTTTTTTTTTTTTTTTTTTCATATATTTGTACAGATTGACAGAAAAATATCTTGGAATTATCAAAACAGTCAAGGTCTATCCAAAAAGAATATTTTTTTCAGTGTACTTTGGTTTCTCACCAGATAAACATTTTCTTCATGAAAATAGTTTTATTTGCGCTGAAAAGTATCGGATGATCTTGAGCAATATTGAAGATATAGTTAAATTATCCATGGGAATTTCTACAGGAATGGTATTTTGTGGAGTGATTGGTCACACAATAAGACAATCTTTTACCTGTACAGGTTTATCGTGTGAAAAATCTAAAAAAATTGCTACTGTTGCTAACCAATACGTCTGTTATTGATTTTCTTTTTTTTAAATCACGATGAAAATTTTAATTTAATTTTAAACTATTGCAGGTCAATTGTGATTTTGACACAGTACTGTACAGTAATTTACCAAGAAAAAGTTTTCGTTTACGCAGCGTCAAAGGAATCACTGGCTTTGGAAAATTTAATATTTATGAGTTTCATCAATTGTTAGTTCCTTTTAATTATTTATTATATTTTTTGATAGAAAAAATTTAATTTAATTTAAGGGAGGAAAAAGAGAGTTTAGTTAGCAGAAAAATTGATAAAATTTATCCAATTATCGGATGTTTTGATAAATTAGAAAAATTAACTGATATCCTGGATGATATTTGTGTTTCTAGTCGAAATTACTGCGGAGTTCTTATTGAAGTAAATAAATTTTTTATTTTCAAGTTTTGTAGTTAATTAATAGTTGGATAAATTAAAGGACCTTAATTAGAGATTAAGACACTTTTTTTAATTTTTATTATAATATGTCGCTCGTCTTTCTTTTTAAAAGGGTTTTGACAGTGCTGGAAAATCTAGACTGCTTGATGAGTGCGTTCTAATAGCAAAATCCCGTCAAATATTAATTTACACTGTTTCATTGAATTTTTTAAACATCACAAGAGCTTACAATACTATTTATTATATTTTATTAGAAGTAAGTATCATTTTATTGTTCATAAATTAAGTTTTAATTAATCTAAAATTTTTAGATGTTCCAAATCCACGATTGTTACTCCGTCGAGGAGAGAAAGAAGAGCCTGATAAAAAAAATTGGAAACATTATCCCGTCAAGTAAATTCTGCTACCTCAATGTCCTTTTTAATGTTGATTTCACCCATTCGTCAACTTTTCTGTCAGAAAATGAAGAGCAGCATATTTCTAAAACCCTTATTCTTTTTGATAAACTATTAGGATCAGTAAGTACTGTAATATTTATTGATTTTTTATATTTAAAAACTATTATTTAATAAAAACTATTCAGGTCGAAAAACCCACGGGTATTTTTATTGACGATATCCATTTTATGGATTTGGAATCTTGGGCTTTTGTAACTCGGATTATGAATTATAATAATTTTTTTTTGGCAATGACCATTGACAATTCTAAATCAATATCTTCAAACCATTACAATGATTCGAGACTTTTTAAATTTACGCTCAATGGATTTAATCCTAAAGAAATGGGTATTTTAATTTGTCAGCTTCTCAATGTTCATGCAATTTCTGAAAAAATTGACAAGTAAATAATATAAACTTTATCAATTTATAACTAATCAAACTATTTATTTTGTATGGTTGCATACCAGAATAACTCAGTGAAAACAACTTCGGTCATCATCATCATCATCATCATCAATACCTTGCAATTGGTACTAAAGAATGAGGAAGTTTCGCCAACCCCCTACCCCCTAGATTTTTGGATAGAAATATTTATATTCCAGTTGTTTTTGTCTGAGTTAATAAGTACCGAGTTACCCATGTCGATTACCCTTTTAATAATTTAATTAAAAAAAATTATGAATCTTCACTAACTTTAATATTATCAATTTTAAAATAACTAATTATTTTATTTTTTATTTATAAAAATGTAATAATCAATATAAAAAAATTTTAGAATTTTAAACAATGCAAATTGGATGAATGCAGGTTGGTGCGAGGCTTTCATATCTCTAGTACTCGAAAGAAAGTGGTTTGAATTTTATTTTCGTGGTGGAAAAGTAAATTTCCAAGACCTGATTTCACCTCCACTTGTTTCTGTCATTAAAGTGCCATACGGTGTCTTCCCCGAAGAGATAAATCCTCATCTTCCGCAAGATAAATTTCATGTCTTAGATATTAAGTCTACATCTATAAACAGCCAGTTTATCAGAGATGACACTTATCTTGACATTGAAACTTTATACAAAAAATTGTTCCACAAACTCACATCTTATGAACAAAGTGTATTAAGATCAGCAGCTGTGCTCGGGGATATTTTTACGAGAGAAGCACTCGAGAATGTAACACCAAATTCAATGGACTTTCACACAGCTAGAGGTAAGAATTTTATAACTCGCAATAAAACGATATTTAAATGTTACTATGAATTACTACCGTCATAACGGCTTACGGTTTTAATACTTATTTCCTACCATATACCTTACTTTATTATTATTATTTTTTTTTTTTAGCTATAACACGATTAATGGATCTCAGAATACTCGAATGCGCGTCCATTCAGCGTTTCAATTACAATCTCTCGCCTTATGTGAAAAGAAACACCTTTTCTGATATGCATCATCTTCTTCATTGCTCTTGTTACCAAACCAGTAATTAATTTTCAATTAAAAATAATATTTTATTTTTGTTTTATAAGCTTGTGAATTATTTCAATACAGATGTAGCTGTCAGAGATGAACAGTTACCCAGTTACGCTGGTTGCAAATTACTTGAGTTCAAGGTAAAGGCCTTTCGTCGGTTTGTTTATGATCAAATATTGCCTAATAAGAAAAGAGAACTACATTCAAGAGCTGCCGAGATTTATGAACGACAAGCTAGAACTTGTATTTCGTGTGGTGGTGGATCTTTTTTAAATGCTTTGGGTGTTGTACAAGGGGTTAGATTATTTTTTCATTTAAATAATTATCCGAAAAACATCTTTTTTTTTTTTTTTTTTTTAACATTAATACTTTTTTAAGTTTGATGTATATTTTTTAAAAGCTTTTGGAAATTCAAAAATTTCATGTTGATTTAATATCTTAGTCTAATTTTTTCAATAAATAATTAAATTAAACATTTTTAAAGATTGGAACTGATGCCAGAGCATTAAGACCATCTATAGTTAGAAGATCTTTGTCTAGAGATGCCATTTATTTCAGTAAATTCAAATTTCGAAGACGTAGTTCATCGACTGAAAGTCCTAATCAAGAAGGAATTCATCATCAGAAAATTTCAATTTTACCAACTCACTCTAAAGATCAAGGTCAATTTATTTTATTTTATTTTAATTAAAAATAATAAAATCTAATTCAAATTTTTTTTAGATGAATCTCAATATTCTTCAGACGAATTATCAACACCTTCTGACAAAAGAAATTTAAATAAATCTGAGTTACTTTTGCTGAAGAAAAATGATCCTTCAAGACGATCACAGTTGAAGAAATTTAACCTGATTGATTTTAGAAATTGCGATTGTGAAAATGTGTTGAATGGAGTTTTCCAAGAACTTTTATGGCATCTTCAGCACACTGGTTGATTCGCATTATATTATATACTTAAAATTATAAATGAAATTATGAAATAGTTTTTAATTACAGATTGGTCAAACAAACTCGTGGAGTACATGATGGAGTATAGCGCGGGGCTGATTTTTATTTGTAGATACTGTGAAGCATTTAACATTCTAATAATCACCAAGGAGATAAATGATAAATTACCTCTCGAAAAGAGATGGAAAAATAAATACATCATATGGGGCTTGATGGGTAAGTTGATTTGATAATTTCAATTGTAGATGTAAGCTATCAGGTAATTAATCATCATTTTTTTAAACTTACATTTGATAGGCGATGCTTCAGTAGCATTAGGAAATATTTCAAAAGCAAAAAAGTATTTCAAAGAGGCAATAAGACTTCAAACTAATGATCAACATTATGATATACTCTGTGTGAGGCCCAAAATTATATGCCGGGCTTGGCATCGAAAAATTAATAGAAAATTGATAAACAGATTCTATAAAAACAGATTTTCTGAAAATGAAATGTCAAGACGGCTGGTTATTGCTTATCATCTTATGAAACTATCTAAAGTTTTGTTGGTAATCTATATTATTAAGAGAATAAGAAAAATATTTTGTCTCCAGGACTATCGTCATACGACTAAAATCGATTTTTTTAGTGAAACTTAGTGTCATTGCAAAGGTCTTGACTTGAATTTGTACTTTTTTAAGATTTTATATCATTCTCACTGATAGTCAATTTTTAATGATAATTATTTAGGCTGCATTCGAAAATGCTCTATCTCTAGATACATAATTAAGAAATGACCTTGTATCTTGTAAACTATTGACATTTTTATAGATATAAGCTCACCCTGACATTACACTCATCGAGACCTTTCATTTGAGTACCCACATCATTTTTTCATATATTTTATATATTTATATTATATATGTGTATATATATATGTATATATGATAAATATATCAAAAATGCATGTGGGTACTCAAATGAAAGCTCTTGATGAGTGTAACGTCGGGATGAGTTTATATTTTTAAAAATGTCAATAGTTAAGAAAGTACAGTGCAATTTAACAAAAGCCATTATTTAATAAAGCAAAATTTTATTTATTTATAGTTCACAAGTCACGGCAGTCACATAATGACTGCAAGATTGCTAATTATAATTAATTTATTTTTAATTATAATGATTATTAATATTTATAATTGAATTTAAGATGCAAGGAGAAAGTAATCGCGCGGAATTGATAGCAATTGACGCATTTAATATCGGATTTTCAAGCTCAGAAGGCTTTACTCAAAAATGCGAGCTCTATATAAAAGCTTGTGAAATTTTTCGAGCTTGCAGTCAGCTAAAAACAGCCCGAAAACTAGACAAACAAATTTTGACGATCATAATGAAGAAATTTTGGTGGGCGTATGTTGATGAAATTGTTTGTGTACTTCGAGTTTTTAAATCAATGTTCGAAGTAAAGTATGTGACTGTAAATTAATTACATTGTCTATAAATTAACTCTAATGCTATAATAATTCTTTTTTTTTACATTTATATTTAATTTCAACAGATTACTTCTGGGAGAGTATAAAAATGCACTAGAAATTGGGTCTAAATTATTTAAAATATCAAAATCATTACATGTAACTGCCGTACAATTAGAGATTTTACCTTTATTGATCAATTTGACAGTATGTAAAAATTAATTCACAAAAATAATATATAAAATTAATTTTTTACTTATAAATTAATAATTATTTAGATTCGTATGAAGCGAATATATGAAACTGCAGATTTAATGCAAGAATTGTACCACCTGTCGAACCAAGATATTGACAAATCCAGTATTACTTGGTATTATGCATTGTCATTAGACCTAACGTTAGATGCTGGCATGGTTTTGGAATCCTTTGAACAGTGTGCCGAGTATGCAAAGGAAATTATCGGTGAAATTAATTCAAATATTACTCAACTTTAAAATAATTAAACAAATAGAATATTATAAATAATAATAGTAATGTAATTGCGGTAGCCAATAAAAATAGATCCTGTGTTCTTCGCGATCCGGAAAGCCTCAAGAGACTATTAACTTGTCTCTGGATATGGCAACTTCGATCGTAAGCAAACAAATAAATAAATTATAAAACCATAATAATAGATTAAAATAATTATCCTAGAGGAACGACCGTGACGGCTACATTTGCGCAATGCTGTGCGTCGTATGCAGTCAACATAAAGCCTGACAATTATGCGCAATTATTAAATCTTCTAAAGGTTATATAACAAATAATTACATAACTAAATTAATTCAAGATAAAATTAAATTTTCTTCTACTCTGATTATTTCGTTTATTTTTTAGACTTTCGAAGTTTACTTTCTTGAGCTTCGACGCTGTATCAACATTAAGCGCTCTGACGAGCTTTCGGAACTTGTTCAAAACATAAAATTGATTTTAAAAACTCTCGAGCAACATTTAAATAATGCCGGGTTCATAAAACCACGGTTTTACATCTTGAAGGCATACTTTAAATTGGCTCACGGGGACAAGCATTCAGCTAAGAGTCTGCTGAAAAAGGCGAGAAAGTATGCAAGTTTTCAGGGTAATGAAATGTTGCTAGCTTGGATTTTACTCAATGAAAAGGTCCGTAATTCATGTTGGTTTTATTGTATTAGAGATTCGCTAATATATCTTTTAATTATAACACAGAATATTAAATTATTTGTTTATTAGATGTGGGAGAAGCTGCAGTTTAATAATACGTCCAGCTATTGGATGGAGAACGTGAGACATGTTGACAGTTTTAATTGGCGAGATATACACGACTTTGACGTGAAAGCATGGTCTTCTATTCTATTCTTTATTTCACCTCCTGACTCCTGTTTATAATTATCAAAAGGTATTTTAAATTATTTACGAATTTTATGAATAATTATACAAAAAAATTTAGATATATTTAATTTAGACGTCAAAGTATAATCGAAAAAATTTTAATTTTAAAAAATTTATAAAATTTTAATTATCTTGTTTTTTTTTTTTTTTTTTATATTTATTACATGCTATCTGCAGCTTACAATCCCTAGCGGTTTTGTAAATGCCGAAAAAATGTCGCAGTTATACAGTATTAATGCCGTATTTTTTCAGCATTTTTTCGGTTGTTTTGGTCAGTTTTTTCATCGAAATATTACGGAACATTTACCGTAAAAATGCGAAATATTTACGCTAAAAATGCGGCATATTTATGATAATAAGGCGATAAAATGACTGTATTAAAACCATATTTAAAAAATGGTGAAAAATTAAATAAAGCTCAGACTGGGATTCGAACTTAGAACCTCCCGAGGACAAGTCGGCTACTCTACCATTTGAGCTACCTGGCTTGTACCATAATAATTTTTGCTTATTCTATATATGGAGCATTCCACGCCAAATCGACCACTTTTGACCCTGACCCCTTTTGATTTGGCTGAAAGTTTACCATCCTTTTCTACCCTATCAACGTCTCTCATAATTTTTTCAAATGTTTTTACCCAACTAAAAAAAAAGTTACGAATTTTTCAAAAAAAACCGCTTTTTTATTTTTAAATTGCCATAACTTTTTCAAAAATTGACTTATGGGGACGTTTTTTTTTTTCAAAATTTTTTTAATTAAATGTCCTTTTTAGAAAAAAATATAAAAAAATTATTCAAAGCTATCTTCATCGTTATTTCTAAAATTTTCAGAAAAAACTCCGAATTTTTTGATGAATACCATTTTTAGTGTCTTTTTTCTTTTTCTCATTCGAAACTTTGACATTTTCTACAGATATCATGAAATTTTCAGAAAGGTGTTTTTCCGATTTCTATTTTTTCTTTTTAATTAAAAAAAAAAAAATTTTTTTTTTGTTGTATTTTTCATAACACCGGTCCAAAAATTTCCGGGAATTCTCAAAAAAAAAGTAAAAAGTATAGAACCATCAGTTTAACATGTTAATCATCGAGATAATCAATTTTTTTTAAAACAAAAGAAATTGAAAAACAACAAAAAATATAGAACTAAAAGTTAACCAGATTAGCTTCTCAGAATTGCTTTTTAAATTTTTAATCCTTGTCAAGGCCCAAGTCTATTTTCAAATTACTCTACAAGTCGTCGAAAAATGATAGTTAGCGCCACCAATGAATCCTCCTCATAAAAAAAAATTAATTAAGTGCCATCATTAGAAATAATATTGTTGAAGAACATTTTCTTGCTTAGCTAAGGAAAATGTTCTTATTAGTTTAAGAATTATTGCATTTCAGACATTATAGTCATGTATTAAACCATTTGACAAAACCGTTTTAATTATAAAACTTAGAGTATCGGAAAATTGTTCATTTCAACGCCCACCATTCCCCGTAAATTTTTGGACCGGTGTTAAAAAATACGACAAAAAAAAAAATTTTTTTTTTTTTAATTAAAAAGAAAAAATAGAAATCGGAAAAACACCTTTCTGAAAATTTCATGATATCTGTAAAAAATGTCAAAGTTTCGAATGAGAAAAAGAAAAAAGAAACTAAAAATGGTATTCATCAAAAAATTCGGAGTTTTTTCTGAAAATTTTAGAAATAACGATGAAGATAGCTTTGAATAATTTTTTTATATTTTTTTCCAAAAAGGACATTTAATTAAAAAAATTTTGAAAAAAAAAAACGTCCCGATAAGTCAATTTTTGAAAAAGTTATGGCAATTTAAAAATAAAAAAGCGGTTTTTTTGAAAAATTCGTAACTTTTTTTTAGTTGGGTAAAAACATTTGAAAAAATTATGAGAGACGTTTTTGATAGGGTAGAAAAGGATGGTAAACTTTCAGCCAAATCAAAAGGGGTCAGGGTCAAAAGTGGTCGATTTGGCGTGGAATGCTCCATATATTAAGCCATACCGTCCATCTTACGATAAGCTTATTTAAAATTAAATAATATAGTTATATATGTGAAACAATGTAACTTCGATTTTAGAAAATTTGCAATTTTCTAAGTGAGAAATTAAAAATTGAAATTGAAATTAAAATATATTTACTTAACATATGTATTCTTTAATATTCATATTCATTACCGCTAAATACCTGATTAAAAAATAATATTGTACATAGTATTTATTCAAAAACAGTATTTGTTTTTGCAAAATAGCGATGGAGAATAAAAAGCAAATTGGAAATTTTTCATTTTATTCATTTCTAACATAGAAGTGAACTAAAAATAAAACCAAATTTTTAATAATTTTCCATTATGTCAGAAAATATTCGGCAAAATTACTGTATTATTACGGTAATTATTTGGAATTTTTTGGGTAAAATTTGGGCATTAATGCGGTAATTGTATAGTAGTATATTTTCGGTAACTGTACAGCATAAGTGCAGTATATATACTGGATATTTACAGTATAAAAACTGGCCAAAACAACTATAGTTTAACCGCATTATTACGGTAAATATACGGCATGAGCATAAATGCCGAAAAATTACGGTATTTTTACGGCATTCTTAAAACCGCGAGGGATACTTTAATAATGATAATAAATAATAATAATAATATATGAGTGTAAAAATTTGCTTGAATATAATTAAACTAAGTATGTACATTTAATATTAATATTATTTTATATAAAATTCATCACTTAAAAAAGTCACTCAAAATTTTTGATACTTTTTTCTTTAAATGTATTATAACTTATAATTAATTTCGAAAAAATTTTAATTATATTTCATAATTCAATTATCTATGATTATTAATAATTATTGCAATATCTGTTATGATTTTTGTTGGCTTGTATTTTAAAAATATATTTACTTGTTTGAAGTAATATTGAGCTGACAAAAATGAACCGTTTAGGCAAAGTAGGACTTCTGTTGGGAAAAACCCACCTGAAGAAAGTACCATGAAGGATTAAAGTTAATTCTTGTTTAACCATGCACCGACTTAAATGAAAATAGGATGCGGGTTTTGAGGGTAAAAAAAGATATTGTTGCTGGCTAATTCACTAGTATAAGTCATTTTAAACCTGAAACTAAACATTCTTACTTAAAATTATTTGTCTGGTTGACGTCACAAAAATTTCCCCGAGTAAGGTAAACAAGTATATAGGGCTTAGAAAGTTAAAGTCAAAAAAGAAAACTGATAAAGAATTCTCACAATTTATGACCGACCAATGGTTTTTGTAAAAGATATTCTAACAATTCATAAATTTGTTAAAGTCATCAAATTTCTGTAAATTACATGACCTCTACCGTAAATATAGGTAGCGACAATAGATACTTCAAGAAACAAAAAGAACTTATCATAAATCTATACCTCAAGTTGGTTAAGTTTTTCCGAGAAAGGCAACACTTTTGTCGCACTATTTAAAAATTAACACTCCGTACTCTACCCGAACCTTTCTAAAGTATAAGAGGGCTTTGTCCCCCCCATAAACGCAGGTAAAAATAAAACTAAAGAGTCAATAAATCTACTAATTTATTTTGCACAACTCATGATGCGAAACATCAAAGAATGCTTTACGATCGAAATTTTTTTTTCGCCTTATTTCGGTAACTATTTTTATTGTTATACACTTGTTAGTTCACGGAATCCAGATATTTTGCATATACTATTGTCAAGATTATTTATTGGAGAAGAATTCCTTACTTTTGAAAAATTTTTTTTTTCTTTTTAAAACTACTTGCAGACAAAGCATGCAGTAAAAATTTTAAATTAAATTATTTACAAGATAATAAAAGTTTTTTTTTTCCCAATTTAATATCTGATATTCTGAGAACTCTGTCTTACAATCGTTGATGTCACTGTCCAACCCCTTTTCATTCGTCAACTTGAATTCCGAAGACCTCAATGTATAAATTTACCTAAACTTTTTTATTTCTTTTATTTCTTTTTACCGAAAAAATAATCTGCCATGACAATAGACAGTTTCGAATAATAGAGTAAGAAATTGGGAAACCCTTTTTTATACCCTTTTTTTCACCTGGAGGAAAACTAAATTCTTCTGAATAGAACATCTGCATAAAAAATCTGTGAAGAAGGATTTTTTTCATTGATACATAAAACTAGTTTTTCCGCTTCATTGGATTGATAGAACTACTTTTTATAATTTTTTTTCGAATATTTTTATGTAAACGTCACCATATATAAAGTTTTTAAAAATAAATAATATCTAAATTATTTTTAACTTCCCGCTAAAAAAATTAAAAATTTTCGAAAATCAAATTTTTATCAGATCTCGACGTTTTGGAGTCCTAGGGAGCTTCCCAGACTATACCTGCGATAGTGTCTGTATGCATGTATGCGTACAGACCTCTCATAACTTTAGAACGGCTTGACCGATTACATCGCGATTGGTGCCATAAAAAAGAGCTTGACTGCATGAACTTAGATTTAGAATACAATAAGGACCGATTCGGACGTTACACTCATCAAGAGCTTTCATTTGAGTACCCTCATGCATTTTTGATATATTTATCATATATACATATATATAATATATATAAAAATATATAAAAAAATGATGTGAGTACTCAAATGAAAGGTCTCGCTGAGTTTAATGTTAGAGTGAGCTTATAACTTTAACAATATCCATAGTTCTCAAGATATAAGGTCATTTCTTAATTATGTAATATATATAATACATATTTTAAAGATGTAAGCTCATTCCGATGTTACACTCATCAAGAGCTTTCATTTGAGTACCCACTTGCATTTTTGATATATTTATCATATATACATATATATAATATATATAAACATGAAAAAATGATGTGGGTACTCAAATAAAAGATCTCTAGTTAGAAATATCAATAGTTCACAAGATACAAGATCATTTCTTAATTATGTATCCAGAGATAAAGCATTTCCGAATGCAGCCTAAATATTTATCATCATAAATTGACTATCAGTGAGAATGATATGAAACCTTGAAAAGACACAAATTCAAGGTCAAGACTTTTACAGTGACACTAAGTTTCATTAAAAAAAAAAACCGATTTTATCATATGACTATCCTAGAGACAAAATATTTCTTATTTTGTTATTTTTAATTTATAAAATCAAATATTTAAATAAAATAAATGGCATCTCTAGACAAAGATCTTCTAACTATAGATGGTCTTAATGCTCTTGCATCAGTTTCAATATTAAAAAATGTTTAATTTAATTATTTATTGAAAAAATTAGACTAAGATATTTAATCAAAAAATTAAAAAAATAAATCAACATGAAATTTTTAAATTTCCAAAAGCTGAGTGATTTTTTAAAAATAACTTTTAAAAAATATACTTCAAACTTAAAAAGTTTTAATGTTAAAAAAAAAAAGATGTTTTTCGGATAATTATTTAAATGAAAAAATAATCTAACTCCTTGTACAACACCAATGCATAGCATTTAAAAAAGATCCACCACCACACGAAGTACAAGTTCCAGCTTGTCGTTCATAAATTTCGGCAGCTCTTGAATGTAAGTCTCTTTTCTGATTAGGCAATATTTGATCATAAACAAACCGACGAAAGGCCTTTACCTTGAACTCAAGTAATTTGCAACCAGCGTAACTGGATAACTGTTCATCTCTGACAGCTACATCTGTATTGAAATAATTCACAAGCTTATAAAACAAAAATAAAATATTATTTCTAACTGAAAATTAATTACTGGTTTGGTAACAAAAGCAATGAAGTAGATGATCCATATCAGAAAAGGTGTTCCTTTTCACATAAAGCGAGAGATTGTAATTAAAAGGCTGAATGGATTCGCATTCGAGTATTCTGAGATTCATTAATCGTGATATAGCTAAAAAAAAAAATAATGAAGCAATGTATACGGTAGGAAATAAGTATTAAAACCGGCTTATTCATTCAAAAAAATTTAATGGGTACAAAACACTCCGAAAAATACAATAAAATTTGATTTAATAATCAGTTAATAATAACAATTTCTATACAAATTTAATCAATCTAATACTTTCATCTGTAACAGCAACAATAAATATTTTATCTTCGAATTCCCAAAAATTCAAATAAAATATCGGTCTGTTACTGGCTTTAATTGTTCTAATATTTCTAGAATATAGAATGTTGGCTGGATCGCCGTATAGCGCCATCATCTCAGAAGTATCTTCAATTGAAAATAATCTAATGGAGCCGTTTTGACAACCAAGAATAACCAAGTGCGCATGCATCGCCGCTGACATGACATTACCCCAGCGTGAGGGCGTATAAAAATGTATTAAATCGTGATCTTCTAAGTGATAGTTTGTTGCAAATCCGTTGAAATCTGTTAATTTATATCAAATTAGTTGATAATCGATGTTAAAGTAGGGATTTTTAGTAGTGCTGTACAATTTGGACGACTAAACCGGCCAAAAACTTTAACCAGGTTAATCAGTTAACCGTTTAACTAGTTAATCGGTTAAATCGGTTTAACCGGTTAATTTGGATTAACCAGCTGGCCGATGAATCTGGTTAAACTTTCTGGCCGGTTTAGTCGACCAATTTGTACAGCACTAATTTTTAAATTTTTAGTGTTAATCTTGAAACTTACCATTGGTAACATAGAGGTAATCTGTATTTAATATAGTAAAGTTAGCCCATTTGTTTAACGGATGAATTAGACGCATAGGACCTGTTGTATCTATGAATTGAAACCCCGCTACCATCCCATTATTGATCATCACTTTATAATTATAAAGTATAACGGCATTGTGTACGTATACTAGTATTGATAGCTAAAATCAAAAACAAAGGTGTAATATAAAAAGCATCAGAGTATTATTTATTATTCATGATAAATTAAATAAAAATAACGATATTAATTACATAATTTGTGTGAACAGTGTGTATGAGCACTTCTTGATCCTCTGTGAGTTTTAAATTGATTGACTGGCCAGGTGATATAATATTACCATCTCTTTCAAATGACGTTATAATTCCATTATTCTCACCTATGCAGAAATCTCGGCATCCGTTGCGGCTATTGATCATCGTTAATCAATCATGTTTATTTATGTATATAAATTGAGTAAATAAAAAGCTTTCAGCACTCGTGTGAGTACCTATACACTCTGCTTTTTGTATCAGCTTTTCACAGTAGCCGAAAGCTCTATTCACTTATAGTTACTCAATAACGACATTTATGAGGAATAAGATAGATGAGAATTACCTGATCCGTGTAGAGGAGCAACCATTGTTAGTGATTTTAATTTTTTTATTAATATCCCAGAACGTCAAATTAGAATCTCTGTCTTGAAATACAACCAGTAAATCACCATCTAAACATGAAATAAAAAGCACGTTAGCAAATCATTTAATTATTATTAACAAATATCTCTTATGTAATTTCGTAACTAGATTGCCAAAACTCTGCCTGGGGTACGTAGTTATTCATTTGAAATTTGAACAATAGCCTAAAAGGGTCATCATCAACGAAAGTGTAAATTTCAATCACATTGTTTCCGAATACAAGCAGTAGGTACTTATCTGTAAAATAAGTCAACGACAAAATCAGAATCTTTTATCTTTAAAAAGAATAACATAGTTTTTGAAATCTAAAGATATTTTAGCAATAAATAGAATTATTTCAACTCACCAAAGGTAGTGGTATACACAATGTATCCGAAATTTGAAGGTGGAACCTTGTTGAATGTCACATCCGCTTTGACAAGAATTTTCTGCCAGTTTATATAAGACAAATAAGTCTTTCGCCACAGTGCCGGATCGTGAATTTCATTTTGATGGCTTATCAGATCGTAGGGACAAGCCTTCACCATCACATCTTCCAGCCACTCTATTTGCATATTCTTCTTAGCTAAATCTTCCCATCCTGGGTGTCTTTTCAAGACATATTCTGCCAATTCCTTGAAGCAGTGGGAAACTAGCCGTAATTTCACCAGCTCTGGAATACTCAAGTTTTCTAAAATAATCAGCCATACTTCGTCGGAAAAAATCATCTCCCTTAACAGAAATTATTATTTGTTAGAATTTAATATTATTAATAGAAAAGTATTAAGTGACAACTGTTTATTGTTTACTATTGATTGTTAACGAGGCTCAAGCAAAACAAATAATAACGAAAAGTATAATTGATTTAGACAATGATAAATAGACTTAAGTACTAAGTATTAAAATTTTTTTTTCTTGAAAGGGATTACATTGTATTAGTAGAAAATAATTATTACACATAAGTCGACAGACATTATAAATTCCTGTATAATTAACTTATTATAGGAAAAAAATTCACATGTAAAAATTGAAAAAAAATTTTAGTGAAAATTTATAAAAGTATTTTTTTATTAAAATTATTATTTTGTTATAAAAATAAAAAAAAAAAGATAGTTGTTAGCTAACTTAAGTATTGTAATTGTAATTTAAATAATTAAAATAGTCACAAAAATTATTACTAATTTTTTTATTATATTATTAATATTTAAAACTTCAGAAAATTTTACGTTAAAAAATTTCCTGCTATTAACTTTGAGCTCTTCGAGCTTGACGTTAATATTTCGGGCCAATTTCTCAAACCGGAATAAATTTTTATCAACTGTTAAAATTTATCTACACGGAAAGAACAAGATTATACTGGATATAATCCCAGATTATACTGAGTGAAAAAAAAATTACAGATAGTAGCTAGTATAATCCAGATAACAATGAGTATAATCCAGATATTATTCAGTATAATTTGGATTATACTAGCTAACATCTGAAATTTTTTTTACCTCAGGTGTCACTGAGTATAATCTGATGAGATGGTATCCAGTGTCATCTTATTCTTTCCGTGTATATATTATATTTATATGTTTTTAAATATATTGGCAATAATGATTTTATCCTAGATAAAATGTTATCTTGGATTGAAAAACTGGCTCTTAGCTCAGTTAAGGAAGCTTCATCAAAATTCTCAGAATAAAATCTGATATCTAGTGAATAATTGAACAATTGGTTTCATTGCAATTTGCAACGATAGGCATTATTATTTAAGATTAAGAGCTGATTGATTTTTGGGATCAATCACTAAAATTGTGTAAACAATATTACCAAAAATGTGTTTTGATAATAACGCACATACATATACGTGTACACATATTCGGAGTGCTAATAACCTATAACATTTTATGAAATTTAAGTTTGCCGACATATAAAAATTTTTTTATCAATAATGAAATTATAACAAAAAAAGTGAGAAAATAATTTTATTTGTAGGAAAATTGAAAAACTATAAGTGTAATTAAAAAAAAAATCTTTTTAGCTCTATTTTAATTTTAATAAATGAAAAAAAACCAATAAATTAAAAAAGTCGGCTAACTTTAGTATGATTAACTTTTTGTCTATAAATTTACGGATATTTATTTTAATACAACAAAAATTGCTTACCAAATTGTAATTCAAATGAAACCTTAAACACGTGCAACGAAAAATTATCAACTAGCCACTTCTAATTCTAATTAAGAACTGCTACTTCTAATATAATTATGTATACTTATTTGTTTTCAGACGTTGTTGTTGGATTTGAAAATGTAATTTGATGCCTAGCAATGCCATCTAAGATTACTTCTTTGGTAATTTAAATAATTTAGTAGAAGAAAATACTTATATTTGAACTTTTTTTGGTTTACTTATAATTAATAAACAAATTAATTCCGCCGTTAAAAATTATTAAAATTTTTAAGTAACTGGTTAAAAGTTTTTTTTTTTTGGCATATTCAACTGTCAAAAGAACAATTAACACGTCAAAGTTTTTGTGGCTTAGCTGCCAAACTACCTTTAAGACGATTTAACCGTTATTAATGTTAGAGGTATTAGTATTTTATAATTATTACTTAAAATTATTATTAGGACCAGGATATAATTATTCTAAGATGATGGTTAATTAAAAAAAAAATTTATTAAAGACATCAAAAATTACAATAAGTACTTAACTAAATTATTGCAATGTCTAGTGACATTTTTATTTTGTGTAGCAACCATGCTCGCAAACACGGTCACTCGAAAACATCCGCCCTCGTCGCATCTGCGCCTAATAACTCGTAACTTACATTCTCAGCTATTAAATAATTATAAATCTCATATTAATCGGCACAAATAACTGAACACTCAGCAAAATACAATAAAATCTATGTTACATCGTTACTATTGTATTTTATTTTATGAAAATTAAGTTAGCCGACATTTAAAAATTTTTAGAATTTTTTCTATTGAAAAAATGATTACAAAAAAAATAAAAAAAAAAATTTCACTTGTAAAAAACTTTAAAAACTATAAGTGCAATTTTTTAAAAATATTTTTTTGTTCTAATTTAAGTATTAAAAAAAAAATCAAAACATTAAAAATGTCGGCTAGCTTCAGTATCATTTTATTTTTCATTTCATATATATCATACCTCAGATGTGATATCATATCTTTGCCGTATACTCGGTTATATTAATATGCTATAAGTACTTTCATTTTATAGCTTGACGATACGACACCTGATTATTTAAATGTACGTACGTATTTTATTGTATTTTTATTTTATTAATTTACCTATTATAAAATTAGCCGAGTACGCCAAAAAGGCTTTTCTTTATCAAATCTAGACAGATCTTGAGTCAATCTTTTTATATACAAATATGTGTGTGTGTGTGTGTGTGTGTTAATAAAAACACTTTTGATTTAATGAGTCCCGATTTAATTGATGGATTTGATAACAATAAAAAAATAATTTTTTTATCTTTAAACAGCAATTCGTGTTTGCATCAATTTAAGTATAATACCAGTCACAGAATACATTAATAAGCGTCAGATTATTTACTTTCGAAAGTTTATACTATATTTATGGCATTGTTGTATAATATTATCCGTAGCATTGTTTATTTTTATTTTTATACATAAATTTATCATTATTAAAAGAAGATGAAGATTACGGATTTAAAATCAAATATTAATCTAAAGAATAATTACTGTTATTATCTATCTATGTATTTAAAACCACATTGACGTACTCAGCTGGTAGTATTTGACACAGCGCCTTGATAAATTGTCCGCAGATGTCTATAATATCGCGTGAATCCACACGTGGACAAATTGATTAAGAAAAGAATTAAGAATATTGTTACGTATTCTAATCGTAGTTATAAAAAAAAAAAAAAACAATTTTAACCTTTGTATGTTTGTTATAAATAATATAAATTGCTGGTGGGTTTCTCTTCATTGCTTTTCAATTATCAATTATTATAACAATGTCACGTGTGAATTTAGTTTTTTTTATCTTTGTTTTTATATAAATTAATTTTTATTTTAAATCATTATTATTAATTATTTCAATTTTCGATGTCATTGTCGATGCGGCTACTGCGGATTCCGGTCTTGCCCGTCCAGGGGTAGATATCCGGACAAGGTTGGCACGTTTTCATGTACCTCACGCCACTCTTGTGCCAGAGGTTACATACTTTTGGATTATTACACTTTTTAGGTCGTCCCTATATTTTGTAATTGATAAAAAAAAAAAAAAATTAATAAGACTTGTTGAAAATTTTTGAAATTTATATTAAAAAATAAATCCAATATTTACCTGGTAGTTACATCCAAATGGTTCAAAAGTATCTAATAAAGCAAGAGGTGTCGGATTTCTGACCCATTCAATAGCTTTGGTATTTGTTATTACCCAGACATCGTCCATGGCAACGATTGTATCTAAGAAGGAGATAAATCCTTCTTTGTGGTGTGGTTGAGTAAACCATGCAGCGTGGTAGAATAGACCAAATGGTGCTCTGTAATAATTCAAACAAATATTAAGGTAAAAGACCCAGTTATTGACACTGGCCTAATTATTGACACTTGCAATTATTCAAATTAAAAAAAAAAAAAAAAAACAAATTAACTCTGATAAATTAATAAATATAATTTTTGAATTATAAATTTTAAGACAATTGATTTTTTTAAAACATTTTATTTTTTTAATTAGAATAAAATTGCAAGTGTCAAACAACTAGGCCAGTGTCAATAACTGGGTTTTTTATCTTAGCAACTATTAGAAAAGAAAAAAAATTTTATTTATAAATTTTATATTTAATTTTTCTAAAGACTGGATAGCCAATAAACTGAAAATTTAATGACTTACGTCAGAAAATATTTATTAGGTAATGATAATTATAATAATAATAATAATAATAATAATTTTATACTAAAAAAAAATTTAACTTACCTGTTGGTAGTATAATGACGTTCAAAGTTTTTGATAAGCATTTTGTAAACTCCATCAGCAGTTGGCGGATTAGAGCAAGCATCTCCCATAGAGCAGCGACCACCGTTAAGATCTTGCCACATGACCATAGGCACTTCCCACAATCCGGGATAAGACCTCGTCGGACATGGAGGAATCATACAGTCGTGGAATAATTTGTAATCGAGAGTATAAGGCCAGCTCGGGGGTCTGTTTTCGTAGATCGGCATCGAGGAGTCGTATGTAAAGTTGGTCTCCCAGAGCATTCTGAACATATTGTTGCCTCCGACCTATCAAAAACCGTAAATGAATAAATAAATAAATAAATAAATAAATAATTAAACATGTAAACTCATTATCGTTAAAGTCGAATTGAGAAGTGAGTGCCATAAATAACCATAAACCAGGTTACAAGGAATAAAAAAAAAAACTCACCGAGAGGAATGGAGCGCGCATTCCTTTGACATCTTCCAACTTGACTCCACCATAAGCAGCGAGAATTTCTCGTTGACCAGCAACTTCTCTGGCCCACTTCCTAGCTGAGAACTGCTCGCCAAAACTGTGCCTGGATTTTGTAATCGTATTATCATTATTACGCCTGTATTTTAATCAATTAATCAACTTATTTTAATGATTTTAAAGTTTTTTTTTATTCTACTTAAAATTGTATTAGGAGCACGAGGCTGATCGATTCATTACAATTGTAATTTTTAGTATTTAAATTTAATATTAAAAAGCATTAATCTTATTATAATATTGCCTTATAATTATTTTTATCATCATATATCAACCAATAAAAGTGTTTTGTAAGATTGTAATTAGTGTTTGTTCAAAGCTTTTACCATTAGCATTAGAGACCAAGGTAAAATTATGAGAGACGATTGTGGACTTGGCTCGTTTGCATGACATGAGTAAATCATATGTGTAAGATTTAAAATGATGATGGTATGGTTGTTATGATAATAATAATAATGATAATAAATGATGATGATGATGATTATTATTACGCGATACTTACGACACCGTGTGAGAGGCAATCTCATGCCCAGAAGCGTAAAGATTTTGTACTTGGCTGTAGTCAGTCCATTCGTGCGAAACGTAGAATGTCGCGGAGATGGGACAGCCGTTTGGGTTTTTTCGTCCCTTCTCGAAGAGATCCGAATACAGGCCCTTGTTCAGATCATTCACCGAGTCGTCAAAGGTCAGCAGTACTATCTGCGGTATTTCCTCAGGCAAGTAGTCCCCTGCAGTGTTAGGAGGTCGGGATCACGGGGGATAATCAGATTCACCAGGAAGTGCATTGATTTTTGTCATTCCATGATATTGTTTGGGTTAATTCAGAGAATAGGAAAGAACAGAAAAGAAATTTTTAGTTAGTACATATACCAGATTAGTTTTTTAACATTGTTAAAAGAAATAGAAGTAAAAATTTAATTTTTTTTAAGGCCAACTTTTTTTCACAAAAGTTTTGCCGGTATTTTGTATTATTTATTCCGATGAGTTTGTCCCAAAGCAATTGTAATTAATATATAATGCGATGATTTTATTTTGATTTTAATTAAGAATCTCCGAGCCTCGAACTTCGCTGACGCGACTTACGAGACTGTGTGAGAAGCGAGCTCGTGTCCATCGGCATAAAGATTTTGAACTTGGCTATAATCAGTCCATTCATGCGACACGTAGAAAGTTGCTGATATTGGACACCCATTTGGATTTTTCCGGCCCCGTTCGAACAAATCCTCGTAGAGCTGTTTGTTAAGATCGTTAACGGCGTCGTCGAAAGTCAGAAGAACAATCTGTGGTGTTTGTTCAACGTCTATTCCACCTGAATTTTTCAATTTGATATTTCAATATCTAATAAATTTTTCCGAAAATTTTTACCCCAAGTATTGCTATTATTATAATTAAATCTAATCACTCGAAAGTATGTGGATTAAATTTTTAAATTAACCTATTCTCGGTGTACTAGTTGGTTTTTATTTATACTTTATATAAACCACGCGATAAGTATATACTTATTTATTAACCACTCTGTACTTTCGAGGAGCACCGTACTGTATTTACCCGGAGAATTATTATTATAAATACTGGGGATATTACATATGTATTTTATTTACTATTTACTGAATTATATATTATATATTGACTAGAGGTGCAATAATAAAAACGTCTCGAGTCTCGATAGATCTTATTGTTGATTAGACGGTTTAAGCCGAGGGCAATACCGTTTTCATGGTCGTTAAATGCTACATTAATCTCATGATGAATTACACAACCGATAACGCGGAAAATTAAACTCTCCAGGACAATACGAGTAAACTATTCATTAGATAAACGCTGAGATAAATATAAATAATTCATAAATTTTATAAATTAATTTAATCCGTAAATAAATAAAAGGTAAATGGCAGTTAAATTATAATTTAATCCGTCGAAAGTTTGGTTTTTTCACTGGTCAATCTATGTTTTTCCCCTGCTGTGATTTTATATATAAATAACCGCGAAGCGTGACTGTTTTCTGTGTCTCTAGACAAGAGAAATTGTTAAAAATGATAACACCAAGATCAAATTCTATATTTCATTCATTATTACCTAATATATTTTGATATTAGAAAATAACCTACTGAATTAATTACTCTAAATCACGGATAGCTTACAGGAAATTTAACTTAAATTCACCCACAGTGAAGTTATGTTAATAATACATTACATTATAATTATATTGATCTCGACAAAATTAAAAAAAAAAAATAACTTTCACATGAAATGTAATTTAAAAGTAAATTTGTTATCTTTTTTTCGGCATTTAAATAATAAAATTTTTCGATATTCAGCCGGGCACAATGTCTGAGTTTAGTCTAGAGACATAATGTGATTGTCTTTACGCATGAGAACATTCACAGAGTAGAGGCGTGCGACGAATAAAACGTTAATTGGGCTCTACTGTATTCCGCTATTCTATGAAAGTATATATATATATATATAGATATAAATATATATGTATATTTATATTTATATGTGTAGAGATATATATGCGGATCTATTTCACTTTCGAATGTCCCGCGCAATGCGTAGCGTATGTAATATTAGAATCGGTGAAAGTAACTGAACTCGGTAAGCAGTACATTGCGATGCAGACAATTGACATGCCTGTTCTTCATCAGCATCGACATCCACGTTCTCAATATAATGTAATGGTTTTCGGACGTACCATATTCAATTGTACATTGGCTAACGATGAAAGTCTTTGTTATTAGTCATCATCGTACATTGTGCTAAAATATGCTAACTATTAATATATCTACTCATATGCTTAAGTACAATAACAGCAATGATAATAATAATAACAAAAACAGCTTCACGTGGATGGATGAATACAAAATAAAAAATAAAAAACAATTATAAGCTTGACTTATTTGCAAATTGGCGAATGTGTAACAAGCACTGTGTCTAGTTGTTTTACAAATCTACCGTTACACAGTCTTTTAAACACAGTTAAAATAAAAACTGTTTGAGTAAAGAGACACCAACTCATCTTATCTTAAATAAATGACCAACCACATTTATAAATAGTCCGTGTGGTCATGTCCATTATGATGTACCGGTTTCGCAACGCTCGATTCGTTATTGCTACAGACTCCTTTGAATAGTCAACAAATCGATAAAAATATTATTTTGTAATTTTAAAATAAATAAATAAATGAATTATAATAATCATAATAATAATAATAATAATAATAATAATAATAATAATGACATTTAATTTGATGTAATTACTTGTACTTAAATCAAAAAGGTGACGTTGATGATTGAGAATAAATAAATATAATAATAATAAAAGTATGTGGGTTACCTGGAATATCAGGTCCGCCGCAGTTACAATCCGGAAGTAAGCAAACATCTTTGCGGCATTTGGCTGCTGGTTTGTCTACCTGAGGCGTAGGATAAATTGGTGCTGGTCTTGATGGTGGATGTCTGTAGATGTCAACAAACTCCTGGGCCTTTGAGACTATTTCCGTAGATGGTTTTAGTGTTGGGCGTAGTCGTCTAGAATAAAAACGGGGTTTTATTTAATAAATTCCAGCTTGTTAAAAGTTTAAATAAAATTCAATTCAACAATTAAATTGTTTTTTTCAATTTTAACGACTCTTTAGGTCCAAATTTTAATTTAAATACCGCGTAACATTTAAATTGGCGTTTATGTAATCCTGTAATATTATTAAAACCATATAATGCTGATTCGAGGCTAATGGATTACAAATAATTACAGTATTTATTATTGTAAACACTTAAAAGATAGTAAATAGTTGTAATTATATAATCAGTATGTCAAATACGTTTGAAGATCAATTAACTTAAAGATAATTAATGGGATAAACGCTCGATTTAACTGTCGTCGACTGATGTGTGCATTTATTTCTCAATAGGTCACCATTTGATGAGCTAAATATTTTAGAAATGGTGATAATCATAATAATAATAATTATTATTATTATTATAATAGTTATTACTACTTTAATTGTTATTTTTTATTACATGAGTTATTATGACTTACGGTGGTGCAGTTCCTCGGTTAACGTTTTGTCTGCTTCGGCTGTTAAATAAAATGAATTTATTAATGCAACTTCCGGATTGAAAACGAAAGTTAATAATACAACATATATATATATATATATATATATATATATATATATATATATATATATCATACATATACATATATTTATATTTATGTGTAACTGTTCACTGCAGATAGAATATGAAGTATTAGGGTGAAAGTGAATAAAGGAGAGCAATTAAATTTTATTTTTTGAGTCGCTGAATTTGGAATGAATGTAAGTGAAGATTGAATGCATTTAATGAATTAAAATTAGGTCTCGGCCAAACAAGGGTTTGTATTTACGTGGCGTTAAATTAACGCAATGATGGTAATTTATTGTCATTAATTCGCCGTTATATTGATACTTGCATTGTATTGTGAGGTATGTTGTGAGGTAAAGATACGATTTACGAGATATGAATGTGAAATGTTAAACATAATTGTTATTTGTTGAATTCTACACACCTTGGAACAGTTACTGTCGTGTAAGGACGGGCAGTTGTCGTCGGCGGGGCTTGAGTCGTCGTCGTTAATGGAACGTAAGCATCAATGACATTTGGTGTCGTCACGTGAACCACTTGAGGACTGATGCTGTTTGGCCTACACATTAATAAAATTTTAAATTATAAATAATAAATTACACGTAAACCTTTATATGCCTATCCTTTATTTGATTACTTTTAATTAAATGCAAGATTCACAGAGTTCAATGGCTCGGAATTTTTTAACGTGGGTAGCATCAACAGTAAGATGAAAGTTTAAATAATTAATTACCCGAATTATTTACGAACTTTGTTTTGGTGAGTATTATTTTTACCTGTAAGACTGCTGATCGTTGATATGGAATTTATTCTTGTGACCCTGAAAATTATTTTCGAGAATAAATATAAAAAGTTTGAAAAATTTTAATGAAAATAAAGTTAGCCGACATCTAAAAATTTTTTCTATTAAATAATTATTACAAAAAACTAAAAAAAAAAAATTTTTTCATTTGTTAAAAACTTAAAAAACTATTAGTGCAATTTTTAAAAAATATTTTTTAGTTGTAATTTAATAAGCACTCTCTAATGCTTTGCTTCATGAGTCGTGCAATAAAATAAGAAAACTTTTATTTTATATTAAGAAACAGTCAACTTATCGAGTCTTTAATAACTAACTAGTATCAAATAACTTTAATTTATAGAAGTAAAGTGTTCTCAGTAATTACCTGGTTATCATAGATGTCGTAATCCGCGGCAGTGACTTCTGAATTGAAATTATACTTATTAACATCGTTCGCGGGTACTTTCTTTGACTTTTGCGTGTAAGTCTTTGAGTTTGGCGTGACCTCGGCGATACGGACGGTTTGCTGTTGTGGAGGATGTGATTGGATAGGTACTGATTGGTTGAGAGCGTACTGGGGATAATCTGTAAGAGATAAATTATTTAAAAAATTAAAGATTTTATAATAATCCATAATTAAATAGCTGATTTTTTTTTTTTATAATAAAAGTAATGAAATGAATGCAAATAAAAATAATTTCATAACTCACCATCGTCCTTATAAATAGAAACGTCATCATCGTAGAGATAGTAAGGATAACTATCATGATCATAGTAGGCCTTTGAAATAGTAGGAGCTGGAGCGGCAGGTGTCGACGGTGTGGTTTTTACGACACGTGGATTCTCCGAAGGAATAGTTCTGTGGTAATTTTTAATGATCAAACATTTAAATTATCTTAAGCATTTAATAATTGCTAATAAGTATGAAATGTCATGAAACATGTTACAGCAGTATATTGCATACATAAATAAAAATAATTACCTGTAAGGACTGTCTGTTTGAATGCGCGCAAAGCTTTCCTTCTCCCTCTCCTGGAATAAAACAAATTGAATGTTAGACTAAAAAATGAAGCTTGCTAATTACAATAGAGAATAATAATGACCACAAAGGAAGTCCTTGATGGTCGTTAGAGAGAAAGAGTAGGTATTAGCTTGTATGGAAAGAATGAAAGAATGGTGGAGTAAAGACGTGCTACATGTACATCAACTAGTATAATACAGTACAGAGTAAGAGTTAAGACTAAGAATGCCCATCATTTATTAACTATTTTATTATTAGGTACTAGGTACTTGATTTAAATTTTTTTTTTTATTTATATTTTCAGAGACGTAAATGGATAAACCGTCACGCACGTAATGGGCCCACGCGATTTCACGGGTCGTCCGTTTTGTTTAGTCGAACGCTACTTTACGTCGCCTCTTGACTTAACGACCAGCACTGAGGTACATTAATCCTACATACATCGGCTCCTTCTTTATTTTTATTTAATTTTTAGAGTTATTTTGCATAATTCTTTCACAAAATACTGTAGGAAATATCAGAGAGGCATTTATTATGTTAAATATTTTGTTGCCGTAAGGAAACACGAGACATCTGCCAGACGAGTTAATTATTGATGGTCGGTGACACAATCAATTACGTCTGCAATTGATCACAGTTTAATTTTGTCATTGTTTTATTTATTTTTTTTTTTTTTTTAATAAGTTTTTTTATGTTAATAATACTTTGTTTTATTAATATTATTATTAATAATTTTTCTACTGTTATTAATATTAATAAATTTGCCAAGAAGATCTTGATGTCTTGTAATTGATGGATTGTTTAGAATTGAAGGTTTCAGAACCAGATAGAAGAAGTCAGAGCCAATTGAAGGAACGTGTTGGACTTGACTTACGAGTGTCGTGATGGTCCTACGCTGTCCTGAGTTTTGCTGCCGTAGTGCAGTAGCACTTGTAGTAGAAGAATCAGTAGTAGTACTCATAGTAGTAGTCGTAGTAGAAGAAGAAGAAGAAGAAGATGCTTCTGTAGATACGCTCAGATCTTTTTTGTCATGACGAGTTCTCGGTTGATTTACCACCGATAGTTTAACCGGTGTCAGGTTTAAGGATGTCGCTGATATTTCATTCCTCTCAATCTCCGCTGTCGGGACATATCGGAATGGTGTTGGCGTTGTCGAGAGTTCCACTTTAGCGGGATACAAAGAAGTAGCTTTAACAATTTTAGTAGAAGCTTTAACTCCTGTTAACATAGTCTTAGAAACAGAAGAAGTGGTAGAGGTGATAGAAGAATTGCCCGTCAAGGTCTGGGGCAGCCTGATGTCATGTTTCTTCGCGTCGAAAGACTTGTACTGGTGTTGAAGGCCTGAAGCCGGGGATATTTCATTTCCTTCAACGTCTTCTTGATCCCGTTGCTGCTGGAGCTTGCTCATTATGTAGGCTCTCTTGAGCGGGCTTAGTGTCGTGGGCGTATCGTCTAACCGGTCGGATTTGCCGGGTCCGGTAGCGGCTAGGACCTTTTGAGGCAAGTGAAGGATCTTTTGATTTCTGCGCTGATCCGCTGATGTTGATGGTAATGACGGTGTCGTTGGTGATGATAAAGGCGTTTGGGTAGAAGGAGTTGTTGACCGGCTAAGTGGAACTGTCACGTCACTTTTAAACGAATCCTTGGTATCCTGGTCCCGGTCAGTGACCGGCCGCTTGCGGACGACTTTCATGGTAACGTAATTAGAGCCGTGGTATCTCTCCCTTCCTCGGTTCGCTATTCGTGATTTAACTCTGGGTCTCAAGGATGACGTGCCAATGATGTAATTGCTATTACTTTTGCCAATAGTTTCATCGTAAAAGTCATAGGTCGGGTGTTTTCGAGGCGCCGGTGGGCTCACTGAGATTTCGTTTTGCTCTAGGTCATCAAACCTGCTCGACTGGGACTGAGAATTAGAATTAGAGGTTGAGTGAGTTACTACTGTCGAGTCGACGTCTGGAAGAGCGTCGATAGTGCTTGGAGAACTGACAGTTTGATCAGGAACAACATTTACCTGGAAAGGTTGATCACTTAGCACGGGTGGCGTTCTAATGGATTGAGGTGTCGTTACAGCCGGTTGATCATCATCGTAATTGTCTTTATCTTTGTCTGTATCTTCTCGAGGAGGCAGCTTGAAAGGTGAAGGCGAGCTGACGATAATGTAATTACGTCTGGTTGCCTCATAGATCGCGTAATCTTTTCTATCGCGTGATTGACCGACGTTTGACCTCGCCGAGAAATTTGCAGTCGAAGACGAAGATGAAGACATTGATGTTGTTGTTGTTGTTGTTGTTGTTGTGAGAGTTGTGATAGGCGAGTTGAGATCTTTAGTTGTTGTGGAAGCAGTCATTTGACTCGCGGTTGTCTCGTGTCCCACACTATCATTGTCCTCGTCGGACGACTGTGGTGGTGTTGGTGGAGATGTGATGGAAGCGGGGTGAGACGGGTGCGTTGGACTTACGGAAATAATGTTCCTCCTGAGGCCGTCCCGGTCTCGTTGGACTTGACCGATCGTCGATGGCTGGCCGCGGTAAACGCGCTGCTGACGGTCGCTTTCGATCTCCGATGCTGGCTCGTACTCCTCGTCGGGGTACGTACGGTGCTGATGCTGCTGTTGGGGACGGTGACGAGATTGACGCTCTGTTGCTTGGGACAGAGACGGAGATGGAGAGGTTAGCTGGACTTGCTGACGGTGGACTGGTTGACGCTGCTGATGCTGCCGTTGCTGAGATTCTGCCTTTGCGGCTCTGTAACATATTCAATTATTTATATATTAATCATTTTTCCTAACTTAAAAAATACTATAGTAAGTTAAAAATTTTTAATAATATAATTTCAAATTTAGATTTCAAGGAATTTTAAAATACCGAAAAAAAAAAACTTGAAATAAAAATAAAAAAAAATAAAAAGAAGTAAAAAATAGTTAATTAAAATTTGGAATTTTTAATTAATTTATTATAAAAATTATATTTCTCATGAATTTATCAACCACAATTAATTTTAATGATAACTTATATTTATCTTTAATAATTTAAAATTTAAAATTCATCGCCTTTTTTTAACTAGTCAATAATTGGTAGATGATGATAATTTAAAAATGATGTTTTTCATCAATCTATTTGATGTCTATTTGAAATCTATTTGCATCACTCGAGTGGTACGGAAGATTTCATACTAACTTCACCATCTCTCTATACTTCTACGTGTAAAAGATGCAATTTTGAAAATTAATTACTTAAAAACGGTGCGGTGAATTGATCTGAAATTTTTGTGGTGAATTATTAATATATTTATCTTTAGATAAAAAAAATTTCATAATTTTTTTAAAATATGCCTTGCACGACCCAACTACCTTAACATAAATAAACGATAATGATTTTAACAGTGATTTTTAATAAATTTATACATTACAGAAACCCAAAGCTGATAAAAAAAGAACAAATGTATTTTGTCAAGTTTTTGAAGAGATATTCTGTTTACAAAATGAATCAATAGTCGTACACCGTGAAAAATAATTAAAGTTTGTTATTTGTAATATATGTTTACTATTACATAATGAAAAACACACCAATTGCATGATTTTTCCTCCAAATAATAACATACGGTAAATGATATTAAGAAAAGTGAGCACACCCGGTTTCGCGTCAAAGGTGTGCAATCATAACCACAAGCTTCGCCTTAAAATCTCTGATGAGTGGATACGAGGAGAAAAACAGCGATAACATAACAGTGTATTAGGGATTAGTAATGGAGGGCCAATGACCATAATTACGGTTAAATAATGTGATATATCCACGAGCTATTGAGGTAAAGAGTGCGATAATTGAATGTAAAAAGCATCGCTCAGCAAGTAGCTACAGGGGAGTGAGGGCAAGAGGCCACGGGTATAAGGAAGAAAATTAGCGAGATCAAAAGGCTCTTTGGATAGTTAGCCTGGATTCCCAGGAGTGCTCGCAACTATAATCAGAGCTCTCTGCTCTATTCCTTGGTATCTGGTATATAATACTCATGACTCGGCGCAATGTTTCCGGCAACACACCAACACTAAACTCCGCTAGATTACCACGATTAACTTTTAAGAAACTTTTTCTTCTTAATAATGCAACTGGACCTAATTTTCAGGCGCCTCGGTGATCTACTAATACTAATGTGAATTACTAAGCACTAAGCTATATACCAGTAGTAAACTCGGTTGAATTAAATTTTCCGACAGTTTCACTTACTCTGGAATAACAACTCATCGTTTTATGTACACCGTAATATATTATTGTCGGTCTTTATGTATTTTTCTCCATTCATTCAAAAATAATATAATGCACTATGTGAAATTGTTGAATATACACTTTTGTCTGCTATTTATAATGACTACTGAGACTTTATTGCTCAACTTTTTGTATCATTATTATTATCTTTATCGTTGTTGTTGTTGTTGTTGTTATTATTGTTTTTATCATTATTATTTTTTTTTACATAATGAGACAAAAATTGCTTAATGCGATTTCGAATTTTAATCTGTCAATCGTCTCCTTGAAATATTTATCTAAAAAATCAATCAATCGTTTTGTTTTTTTTTTAGGTAAATTTTATAGAAATCAATCTTTTGCATTGATCCTCATGTCGAAATTTACTCGGAATTTTATCGTAATATCTCTTCACTAGAGTAAAGCTCAAAAATAACGTTAGTTAAAAAATTTATATATCTATGTAATATAACGCGGGATGTTGCCGTGATTGTGCCTACAATTCTCAACGAAATTAAATGAAACTTGGTGCACATATTCTTTGGGTAATTATCTTGAACAAGTTCGAAGATGAGCAAAATCGATCAATTAGTTTATAAATGGTGGCTATTTAAAATTTTCAAAATAGTGAAAATCACGTTTTCGGTCACTTCATTGATGTATAACTTTTTATTGAAAAGAGATAGCTAATTTTTGAAAAATTCATGTGATAGCTCATGAAATTACCTTTTATTTAATGTATATCACATTGACATTTTGACCGTATTTAGTTATTTTATCAAAGTTAAGAGTGCAATTGAACCATTTTCAGGAAATGTGTAGCACAACCGACTTATGAATGTTATTTTATCCAGAATTCTCAACAGATCCTAATGAAATTTAGTATACAAATTACATAGACAATTAGCTTGCATGAGCCTTAAAATGAGCGAAATTCTTCGGTTAGTTCAGAAATAGTAGCTCTTCGAAATGATCAAAATAGTAAAAATTATTATTTCGGTGACTTCATTTATGTATAACTTTTGATTGAATAGAGATGGCTAATTTTTGATAAATTCATGTGAAAGCTCACAAAATTACCTCTAATTTGACGTATATAACGTTAACTTTTTGATAATTATTAGTTATTTTATCGAAGTTAAGAGTTTAATTGAACCATTTTCAGACAATCTGTAATACAATCAACTTATATATGTTAAAATAAATATCATCCAATGTCAGACGAAAGTTATTGAGACAAGATGATAGATAATTCATTCTATGAAATCTACTTTCCATTTCGGTGTGGCCGAATGGCGTTTTTTTTATTTTATTTTTAAGAAATTTCACGAGTTAAAAAATTATTAATTTTTGGAGAAAAACATCAAATATTTTTTTTTTTTTTACAAATTCTAATCAGATACTAATGAAGAAATAATTTAATTACTTAAAGCCAATAAACTCATGGTATTTTCTTAGAGTGAGTAAAACTTGTGAAAAAGTTATTAATGTCAATTATTACTGATATTCTTCTTTATTATACAGTTTTGACATCACCCATTTTTTGAATTTATAAAAAATTAAAGAAAATAGTTCAGATTTAATTATTATATACCTATTACTGGTCGGAAATAATAAAAAAATAAAAAAAAAACAGCTTACCGTTCCAATAAAGGATCTTCATCTTCGACATCCCGATTAGCAGCAGAACTGCTTTGGCAGCCAACATTACGTGGCCAGTCGCATGTCTGGAGCTCGTGGCTAAAAAATACAACCATTAAGTATTAATAACACAAAAAGCTCAACAAAAAAAAAAATTATAACTCGTAATTAAGTATCATAAACTTTTTAATTAAGCCAATATCAAATTAAAAATTAATTACTATCTTTTTTACTGGCAAAGTGTTTCTTTAAGTTAACCGGATGCTTACACAGTATAAGTATATCTCAATACCCTGATTGAGACGTATGATTTATTGCTATCGTTTATTAACTATCAAAATAAGATAAAACAACTATCAATTAATTAAATAGCATTATTATAATTGGTACTGCTAGGTAAAAAATAAAATAGACCAAAGGTTGCGCAGCATTAACCATTAAACAAAATCAAAAAAGTAAATAACAGTCCGATAAAAATCTCGTTAATAAGAAAAGTATATACACTAGTAAATCTTGTTGATAGGCAAGTATCACCTGGACCTGTTTATGTGTATCGTATGTTTTATATTATTGTCGATAATACATAAAATAAAAGAACTTAACCCAACCGAGAGGTGAAACAATTAAGATTTATATCTTAGCGCGTGCCTTCGAGCACCAATCGATCACAAATCGACCTTGCTTTCTTTGACTTTCGGATTCCTTTTCGCTGTTTGTTCCTATCAATCCCTCGGTACAGTACAGTATAGTTCAAAGTTATTATATTATATAAATTAAAGCAAGCACAATGCATAAATATTTATCAGTCTATATTTATCCACTTACCAGATGATATGTCGCAATGATTGCGTGGGATCTAGATCACCGATCACCAATCTCGGCTTGATATTATTAAATATTATTATTGTTACATAAAATATAATTGTAATGTGGATAGTTAACAATGATAATTTATTTTTTCTGTAGCTCAGCGTGAAAATATTAGATCAAATCTAGTAGAGGCAACTCCTTTCTATATTTCCAATTTAGTAAATCGGAAAATATTTACAACTGACAAATAATAAATGACTTTACGACAATCGGAATTTAATGACATTTTATTTTAGTCATTACCGCATTATGTATAAGTCCATTCCGGGGAAAATGATTTAAAAAAGTTTATTATTAAATGAAATAAAATAGCTAATAATCAATACCCCTGGGCTAATTTCATGGTGTAATAATCCAGAAAATGCTAAAAGAATTAAATTGCGATACCGCGTATTTGGCGTTACAAGACTGTCGTTTGATTATCCTTAATTGGATCACGTTATCTGGAGATTTGTAACATTCGGTTACAAATCTCGTAGATTTTAGCGTATGTCACACTATGTATAAATAAACTGTTTATTTGTTTGTTTGTTTATTTATTTATATTACGTGTGTTGTTATGAGTTGCACGGGTTATAATGAAATATTTAGAAGGTGTATTATGGAACTTATCCTTTGAATAAATGCACACATTACACATATGCTTGGCATTTTTTGCAAATAATGACAGACCATAACATTACTCTGAACACGCGTCGTGACTCGACTCCACGGTGACCTGGGTGTGGCGAAACAGCCATCATTTTTTATTCCAGGGGTAGGATACGGCCACGGGTAAATATCCTTTTACTATTCAAAGCGCGTGAGACTTTTGGACTGGTAAACTTATTCAGCCAACCGGATAACAAATTTATAAACATTGGAGTTTATTTTTTATTTTGATGTTGATCTTTTTAATTTTTACTTTTTCAAGTATTTTTGGACGAATTTCTGTTCTCAATAAAAAATTATAATTTTTTGTCAATTAAGAAATTGAAAAATTTTTTTTAAATTAAATAAGCTAAACAAATTTTTTTTTTTTAATTATTAAATTTATAGGAAGTTTCTTAAATTTTTAAAAAAATTAATGAGTATCCAATATTAAAATTCTAATAATTAAAATATTAAAGGTTTAAAAATTTTAAACGACAGAATCTTAATTACAATTCGACTTTAGGTTAAATTAAGAGATAAATCATTACTTTCGAATCTTAAAATAAAATTAAAGAGTATTCTGATAAATTATTTTGATAAAATTATATTATATAATAATTCTGCTGATCATTGAATAAATCTTGTAATAATATTCAATAATATTTACTTTAACGTACTTAATGTCTAAATAAAACAAGATCTGACAAGATTAGCCTTTAACTAAACAATTTTCTTCTAGAAAATCTGAATAAATAAAGTTTATCACAAAATCTTAATATCCGATGAAGTTGCATGAATTAAAAGGTGAGAATGAATAAAATCTCAGATCTGGATATTTATCTTAATCATTATTGCTAATTAACATCAGCAGAATTTAGTTTTTAGTTTGAAAATAATTAAAATAACTAATTGTTCCGACTAAAACAATAGCGTAGAAAAATATGTAAAGCGAAGAGAAGGAATTCGCACGTCAGTAGTTCTAGTTTTTACAATTTTTTTCCTCGCGTTTGTCCATATAATGATTATGTTGAGGGATCGAGTCCCACGGCTTGTTAGCTGACGACAGTCCTAACAATAGTTGGATTTGCAATGAGAAACTGATCCTCAATACGGAGTAGTTTACTTGCTGTATGCGGTAAATATGGTATAAGGTAGTTTATATGAGAGTCGAGCCGTCAAATATAAAACTTCATACTTTTATATATATACCAGAGTGTACTGTACAGAGTCTATGATTACCGAAAGTCTAATGTTCAGGCTTCTCACTTTCATTTGATTCTCTTCATATTAAATTAAATACAAAGTAATATCTTGTATGAAAGTATAGATATGTATAATATATATAAATATACTGTACGATGTCCCAAGACTTGAGGCTCTAGAGTATGAACTCTGCTTTTACATAAATGTTTCCGTACCCATTTTTTGTAATGATAACTTAAACTCTTACTGTAAATGTAGCTCTTACGGATAAATAATTACTGAGATTTTCGGGTTTGGCTCTCGGGTTTATTTTTTCAAAAATAAAATGAAAACGATTAAGTGAAAGGATAAATTTGTCCGGTGACTTGTTTTATTTTTTTATTTTGTTAAGGTTTTTTAAATATTTTTATTGAGATTGAGCAATACTGTACCTGTACATAAGCCCGCCGGTACATGACTCTAAAAGTGCACCGCCAAAAACACACACGTAATACTGAGTGCAGTCCCGCGGGTGGGGATAGTACCCAAACTCCTCGGGACACTCGAATTCAAGTGCTGCGTCGTTCCGACTCGCCCGAGGACTTCTTGGAGTATTTCTCTGGCATCCTGTAACAAATTAATGATAATAAAATTAATTATGGTTATGTAAGTGTAATTTTAAAGAGTGTAAATAATAAGTACTGATTTATAAAAATATAACATTGTTTTAAATTGTGGTAAATACTTTTTAAAAGTCATATAATATAATTGTAATCATTATAGTAGTTAAGCAATAAATATTTAATAACGCTGTTGTTATTAATGTCATTATTAATTATAATTGTTTATGAATTGTTAATTAATTTATTCTCATAACTAGAAATAAATTTATTATTATTATAAAAATACTTGGAAGTTATAGAATTGTCTATATTTTAACCTAGACATTTAGTTTTGATTTTAATTATTATTTTTGAAAGGAAATTCTTAAGATTTTTTGATTAATTTATTTTTTATTTATTAAATAAAGACATTGAAAATTGATTTTCTAGAAGGTTAAACAATTTATTTTAATTAAAAGAAATGAGATTTGAACTTGTACTTGGAGCGACTGCATAAATTATTAATTAAATATTTTATTGATTGAATTTTTAATTTGTTAAATCAAGTAATGATTGAATTATTTATTATTTAAAAATTTTTTTAATCAAAAATATATTTCCCATTAAGAAACCTCATTTTTCACAATCGACTGTCAATAAAACAGTCTTTTAATCACCGTAGATACAAATCGATCTTAGTTTAAAATGTCAGAATAAATTATTTTAAAAAATGCAGTAAATAAAATAACTGCATTGAAATAACTCATAATAATTATTGTAGATATAACTTGTACTAGCACTCGGAGGGAAAGAAATTCACTCTAAAAAATAATTCTTTATGATTAATGACAACTTTTTTTTTGCATAATATATTAAGCTGACAGTAAAAATACTAATAACACAAAAATTCGAAATTAAGTCCGTGTTGAAATGACTTTACTTCTCGTAACTTTAATTGATAATAATAAAAGCCGCCTAATGATAATGATAATGATTAAAAATCGATTATACTGAGCATTAAAACGCAATTATAAAAGAATTTTTCACAAAGCAAATCTCGATAAAGTTAGCGAAATTATGGTCGCTCATCCGTGTCGACTTGTGTCTGACCTAACCAGTTCTATTCTCCTATACTCCTCACTAATTTAACACACACACATGCACACATTTATTTCTTCAAGCCTTTCCAGTAGACATATAAATATAGATCAAATAAGACTATAACTATAATATGTAACTTGTAAATCCCGTGGGCATTCGCGTCGGTTGGAAGAGCAGCAAAAATCCACAGGTTATTTCCGCGCAATTCAACTTACGGGGCGTCAACTGTGATTATATTGTATTGCACATATCGACGCCGGCTAACCGTCTTGCTTTCCGATAATTCAGCAAACCGTTTATTCCTGTTATACATTCTTATATGTACATCGACCATTATTATTAATTTTACAGCTCAGCAACAGCGAACAAATAACATTTCCGCGTGTTATTTATGTTTAAAGTCATCCGTCATTCGTCATCAACTTCGCCATATCACCGTCAACAGTAATATAACCAAAAGCAGTCCCAGTATTGACCACCAAGAATATTTATCATACAATCTCACAAGATTAATTGACAGCTGGCTATTTAATATCAATTGCGAATAAATAAACGTCAGGTGAAATTAATAAATTGTGTAACTCTAAAAATTGATTTGTTTGTTTTTATAAGAGTTATTTTTTCAATTTAATAATAAAAATTTCAGCTTGAAGTTGATCAATATTTTTTTTTTTTTAGCTATTAATCGAATAAAAAGTAAATTTAATATAATTATGTGCGTGTGGCTTTAGACACCTGTTTCATGACTGTGAAAAAGCCTTCCGAGAGAAAGAGATAAATAAAACAAGCACACGAAGGAAAACAGGCTTTAGATAAAGTCTAGAAGAAATCGAACGGGATTTATCGTATTGCGTCACAACTAGTGCTTGTAGTTGTAGTTACATTGCATTAGTAAGTACTTGTTACTGGTATAGTACTCATAGTTGTACTTGTTCGGCTACTGAAATTATATTCACGGTTGTCTAATAAGTCCTGATGTATTATATTAAATGTCTACAATGTTAGTATTATATTTATTAACAAGTACGATTAATGAATTTAAATACAATGAAGATTAATGAATTACAACAATAAAAAATTTAATCACTGGTATTAATCACTTAAACAACTGTTACTCGAAATAAACTCTAGATATGGTTGTTTTATTTTGTTATTTAATTTATATTATAAAACTATCTGCCTACTTTTCAATTGCGTAATCTATAATCTATAATATTCAATCATTTTATTTAATATTCAATAAATTTTGTATTGAATCCGTCAACGCTGAAGTAAATAGTATAAGTATATAAGTTATATCTTTTTTTGTTGCATGTTGAATAAATTGATATGCTCGGGCATGAATATCATTAACTACGTAGTTGGTGGTATTGATAAAAAGCTACATAGGAATATTTATTATTTTTTCAATAAGGTGAATGTTTTTATTTAAATTTGTCCACCAGTTCCTTTCGATTCCTGCATATATATCCTGCAATAAGGATTTAATGCACGGAAAGTGTATTTATAAGATGTTGTTACGTAAGACATGCAGTGAAAAGTAACTGGATTTTTGGTCGACCTTGTTTCAAGTACTTGTACATTTAAAACACGAGTATGGATGTAGAACATGGAGAAAAATATAGGAAGGAATATCAACAACAGCTACCTGAATTCTTACCGATAACAAAATAATCTTTTGGTTTGTTGCTGCAATATTTTTTCAATTCTCTAAACTACTTTTCTAAATTATATTTATAGTTCGTGATTAACGTTGAAATGTTTGGAGTGAAATCAACAAATTTTTATAATTTGAATAATTTACGCAAGTAGTGTGTAACAAAAATTTTAATGAATTGAATTTAAATAAGCATACTTAATCATTTTTTTTTGTTAGGGGAACCTGGGGCACGACGGCCCCCCTCAAAAATTAGGTAAAAATTTTTTTTTTCAATTTCCCTCAAGTTATGACCTCTATGATGTTTTTATGGTATTTTGAGCCAATAAGTGATATGTGGGGCATAATGGACCACTCGAGAAAAAAATTGTAACGAAAAAAAATTTTTTTTTTTTTAAATTGTGATAAATTTGTGGTAAAATGAATTAGAAAAAATTTAATTGAACTAAAAAATTTAACAAAAGATTGAATTATACCGGGGAGAGAGGTAAACGACGGTCTCTGACATAACGGCCCCTCTCAAAAATTAGGTAAAAATTTTTTTTTCCATTTTTTGTCAAGTTATGGCCTCTATGATGTTTTTATGATATTTTGGGCCAATATGTAATATATGGGGCATAATGGACCACT